CTTGGCGTGTGGGCTTGTAATCATCTGGGTACCCAACCCTTACCAGTCAATTTTATGGAAGAGTTCTACCCAATCCCAATGTGTGTTTGTAATTGTAACAGGCTAACAAGGCTCGCCTACACTTTTCAACCCATCGAAACCAACTCATCACAGACCTCAAAGCAACCTCTACGAGTCAAATCTATATGCATGCAAGCCCCCAGGGCATATCTCCCAGTGACAAAGGAGAAGGCGGTTAGGGCTCAGCGCGGTAGTGTGCAGAGTTCGATTCCCCGCAAGGTGGAATTGGCTTTGTTGTAAGCGGGAGTTATCATAGAGTTAAAAGCCCAAGACCTATCCATAAACTCTCTACCCTGGCTCCTGGGAGACACATCCTGCGATTTACCTCCTCCACAATGGCTCAGGGCAGGGTCGGTGAGGGGCCCTCAAGGCTGGGGTTCAACCTTTTTTTTTTTTTTTATATGCATGCAAAATCAACAACTATTGAACAGTTGATTGGCAGTAGCTAGAACCTTCTATAGAGAACTTCATTTGTCTTCAGGCTTACAATTCAATCACCAAACTATTAGTTATGACAACATTTAGACAAGGAAAATCCATAATTACTACCTTCATCTGTATATAAACTCAGTGTACAGGTTCAAAATCTTCAAGTGTTATCAGCCTCACATTTATCTTAAACACTTTAAAAGTAACCAGAACATGGGGAAAACAAGTCTTTCAATTATGGCATTACTATAAACCTACCAGTGCACAATTCACAGATATATTTGATATACGATCAATATGGCTAGACAATTCTCGTGGCCGTGGGCCTTGAACTAGAATAATACCACTTTAAGTATGCAGAAGATCATGTTGCAAACAAACGTGCAGCCAAAATATGCTTCACAAAATTCAAGCAGGCAATTCTCAAACTTCACAAGCCAAATACATGAATTACAACATCATAACAGTCAAACTTCCAACAATCTCTAGATAATAACCACAGCTCTATAGTTAAATTCTAACAATAAACATCAAAATAAGAAGTGTTGTTAGTCCAACATCATGTGCCATGGACAAGGTTCAATTTTAAATATACATTTACCATAAAAAGTATCCAACAAATGTCAAATATTAGAAGCTTTTAAGTTAGAAAAACAATCTATGGATGACGAACTAAGCCAGTTTCCACTAAATTTAGGGTTGGCCACAACTTTTCCACATAAGCTCAAATTATAATCAACTGCAGTAGTCAATTGATCATCCATAACATAACATTATAAACCTGATTATAGATATTTACTTTCTCCAATACACGCAGCTAATCTGGCATCAACCAAATATCCAGATTAAGAAAATTAGAGAAGATTAAAATCAATGTACCTCAAAATAACACCATTATAAGCAAGTACTCTCACTTCAACATCATAATCAACTGAATAAATCTTCACGTCTTTTAACTAAATGAGAACGAAAAATTCTCAAAATTCCATTTTTCATTTCCAAAATATTCACTCTTCTTCATCACTCTCATCACTAAAATATCCTTTCTTCTTCTCTCTCTTCTCCTTCTTTACCTCCTCCTTTTCTCTTTCACTTCTTAACAGTCTCTCCTCCGCCCCTTCACAGAATATTACTTGACCAACTCGGCGCCTGTGTCACCATGATTAAGCTTTCCGAGTTAATTGGTTTCAAGATCTCCCCCATCCAATCCACACCCCACTGTGAGTTGATCAGTTTATTTATGCAATTGTGTTTGTTAAGGATGGAGTTAAAGAAGTCAACTTGATCCCGTGTAGGCGACTCAATCCGATTGAATTGATTGCATATCTGTACTTAGCTATTATCTATTTATTTTGCCCGATTGAATAACAGGCCAAATGAAGATGCTTCTTTTTGGATGCTTTAATGTATTACATAGAATATAGAATGGGAATTGATTTGTTTCATAGACAAAACATGATCTGTGCTTGCCGTGCTTGTTATATGAATGAACTTATCATTTCCTACTAAGAACTGAAATAGTTAGCCAAGTCCTATATATAGGAGTCTCCCTTTGTCCTTGCATTATCTACCCACTCTGTGGGAATATTCTAATATCGACTTGAAACGAAACATCCATCCTTGATACTAACTAAAGTAGGATACTGTCACCACTTTTTTTTCAAAAGCTATATATCGTGACACGAATGCAATCAACTCTATATCACATAGAATCAGGCTCCACCTCAAGCCTACTCTCTTGGACCCACCCTATTTTAAACAAGCTCGTGGACTAAATTGTTAAGTTGACAAGAGTGATATTATCTATAAGAAAACTCATTCTCTTGGCAACAACGCCCCTCAAACCTATTAAGCTGTTATCGAGATGATAAAACTATATATGCTCTATGTTATTGAAAAACCATTCCATCCTTCTAGCTTGATTAAGAGTAAATCCTACATCCATTTAAAAAGGCACTAAGACATCAAATCGAAGAATGTGAGAGTCAATTCTTACAGAATAAATTCTCATTCCATCCTTCAAGCTTGTTATGAATTGCATCTTCATTTGGCTTGTTATTCAATAAGACTACTTATTTTGGGTAGCCAATGTGCACACAATTCTCTTGTCAACTCATGCACCAATTAATACTCGTAGATTGCGAGTGAAAGGGAGAGGAAATGAAGCTTGCAAGGAGCTCCGTTATAATGTCACAACGTACAGAAGCGTATGGTTGGAACAACAATCTACTGCCAATAAATTTAAACACAGCCACGTTATTCCTTTTTCACATTCTGCTCCGGTTACTGCTAGATATGTTGAGAGATCTATTGCAACTATAAGCTTGTTTACATTGTGAAAACGTGGAGATAAAACCTCAATTTTCAGACCAATGTTCTAAAATTCAGCTTTCATCACTTAAATTAGTAAACTTCCAAGCAAGAAATAATTAAAATGGCTTTCTTCAGAGAACGCTTTCACTGCAAAAAACTGGAAATGCGCCAAAATTGGATGTACTAAGATTGAACCCACGCATTACATTACAGAAAGTGATCATCTTCCTTCTCAATACTAAAAATAACTATAAACTTCAGTTTTCAGACCAATGTTCTAAAATTCAGCTTTCATCACTTAAATTAGTAAACTTCCAAGCAAGAAATAATTAAAATGGCTTTCTTCAGAGAACGCTTTCACTGCAAAAAACTGGAAATGCGCCAAAATTGGATGTACTAAGATTGAACCCACGCATTACATTACAGAAAGTGATCATCTTCCTTCTCAATACTAAAAATAACTATAAACTTCAGTCTATTAGGTAACATTTAACAAGGAGAAGTTACAGCAGCCAAGCATCTATCAGGGAGATCACCAGGACCCTAAAAATGAAATAAAAAGTTCATTATTTGCTAAAAGCCTAAAACGCACCAGACATCATCAAAAGGACTTCGTAATAACTAACTATGTCTCACGTCAATAAGTGAAGGCTTGGCTTGTAGACTAGGGCCTGTTTGAACCCCATTTTTGGTGTAGAATGCATTTTGAAATAGTAGATTGATGGAAAATGAGATTAAAAAATAAGGAAAAACTTTAGGTTTGCATGTAATATTATTTTATTGAAAAATGTGCGGTTGAAAAGAGTAAAGAGAAAAATGTATTTAAAAAAAATGAGGATCAAACAAGGGCTTAGTTACACCCTTATGGAAATAACCCTAGTTGGGACAGAGCAGCATGAGGGGGCTACTTCAACCGGTTCAGTGAAGTCATATACTTGGGAATATAGACCACAGTTGGCGTTGATTCTAAAAGGATAGGCGAAAGGCAATGACTCTAATTATGCCTGCCCAAGTTATGACTTGGCTTGTGGGCTTGTAATCATCTGGGTACCCAACCCTTACCAGTCAATTTTATGGAAGAGTTCTACCCAATCCCTATGTTGTGTTTGTGATTGTAACAGGCTAACAAGGCTCGCCCACACTCTTCAACCCATTGAAACCAACTCATCATAGACCTCAAAGCAACCTCTACAAGTCAAATTTATATGCATGCCATATCAACAACTATTGAACAGTTTATTGTCTTCAGGCTTGCAATTCAATCACCCAACTATTAGTAATGACAAATAGTCCTCAATCATTTTGACAAGGAAAATCCATAATTACTACCTTCATCAGCATATCAATTCAGAGTACAGGTTCAAAATCTTCAAGCGTTATCAGCCTTGCATTTATCTTAAACGCTTTAAAAGTTACCAGAACATGGGGAAAACAAGTCCTTCAATTATGGCATTACTATAAAGCTACCAGTGCACAATTCACAGATATATTCAATATACGACCAATATGGCTAGACAATTCTCGTGGGCCTTGAACTAGAATAATACCACTTTTAAGTATGCTGAAGATCATGTTGCAAACAAGCATGCTGCCAAAATATGCTTCACAAGATTCAAGCAAGCAATTCTCAAACTTCACAAGCCAAATGCATGAATTACAACATCATGGTCAAACTTCCAACAATCTCTAGATAATAACCACAGCTCAATAGTTCAATTCTAACAACAAACATCAAAATAAGAAGTGTTGTTAGTCCAACATCATGTGCCATGGACAACGTTCAATTTTATATATAAATTTACAATAAAAAGTATCCAACAAATGTAAAATATTAGAAGCTTTTAAGTTAGAAAAACAATCTATGGACGACGAACTAAGCCTGTTTCCAATAAATTTCCGGTCGGCCAAATTCCCTCTTCGTTCGATACAACTTTTCCACATTAGCTCTAATTATAATCAACTGCAGTAGTCAATTGATCATCCATAACAGAACATTATAAACCTGATTATAGATATTACTTTCTCCAATACACGCAGCTAATCTCGCATCAACCAAATATCCAGATTAAGAAAATTATAGAAGATTAAAATCAATGTACCTCAAAATAACACCATTATAAGCAAGTACTCTTACACTTCAACATCATAATCAACTGAATAAATCTTCACGTCTTTTAACCAAATGAAAACGGAAATATTCACTCTTCTTCATCACTCTCATCACTAAAATATCCTTTCTTCTTCTCTCTCTTCTCCTTCTTTACCTCCTCCTTTTCTCTTTCACTTCTCAACAGTCTCTCCTCCGCCCCTTCACCATCCACTACCGAAGCCCAATTTTCCGCCTCAAAAACATCCTCCTCCCCTTCATCATCCCAATCATAATTTCTGCCTCCAGTTCCGCTTCCAGTTCCGCCACCCGAACCCCGCCCTTTCTTGGCCACAGGACGTTCCCTCGCCCCCAAGAAATTCCTCGGACACTCATACGACAAATGCCCCTCCTCACCGCACTCATAACACCTACTCTTATCCTTGTACACCTTCTTCCTAATAAACTCCGAAGCACGACCATTGTCCGTGGCAATCGAGGCGCGTAGTGTCCTCCCATTGAGGATTTTTTTGTCAATTCCTTTAACGGCCTTTATCGCATCGTCGCGCGAGACGAAGAGGACAAAGGCCACTCCACGGCTCTGGCGCGTGACGCGATCCTTGAGGACGGTGGCTTTGGCCACTTTTCCAAAAGTGGAGAATATTGTGAAGAGATCAGAGTTTGTAAGGCTGTAGTCTAAATTGCTGACGTAGACTGTCGATTTTGATGGGGCTAGGCCGCCACTGCCTCCATCTCCACGTGAGGGTTTCCCTGTGGAGGAAGAGGTTGGCTGTGAGGCGGCGGCGGAGGTAGTGGTGGCGTAGCGGTAGTAGAAGGTTTCGTCGTCTTCATCGTCGCTGTAGTTCCTCTTCTGAGACATGTTCGTTTGTGAAATTGTGAATAAAGCGATCTCTCGATGGTTCTTTACGGAACTCCCGTTTTAATTAATGTTAAGCTAAAGTTGCTAAACCAACGCACGATTTTAAGTCGTTACAACCTACGACTTGCACTTGCAGCCTGGCACGATTCCTCTTGAAACGAAGTGGAGTTTCAGGTTAATTTCATTTTTGGTCATTGAACTTTCAATGAGTTTTCAGTTGAGTTACCCAAATTAATAAGCAAAATTTAACGTTACATTCTAAGCAAAATTTAAAAATTAGCAATTATATCATCGCCGTAAAATTTTAAATTAACCAATGTATATTTAAGAATCAATTGTAATTCATCCAACATGTTCAATAATTTATAGCTCTACTCATCTTCAGTTTCAAAATTTTGTAATCTCACTCACAACAGATTAAGTGACTATTTAAAATTAGAGGCTAGTAGAGAGTTCTGGATCTCTTAAGTAAAGAGAATGACCGATATTTAACGTAAATTAAAATTTTGATTGCCAAAAACTAAAGTTGTGTGACATAACTAAATTTTCATATAAGCACTTCACCTTAGAATGAGATGTGCCAGATATGGGTGGGTGTGATAAATATTATTGAAAAAAGAATGCATTTTAAATAATGATATGATGAGAAATACATGTAATTAAAAAGTAAGGAAAAGTTATTGATGTGATGAAAAATATTATTTTATTGAAAAATGTATGATTGAAAATAAGTTCTAAAGGAATATATTTTAAAAGAATGTGTGTCAAACATAACTTAGCATAAAATTTGTTCGTCCTACCAATTTTAAATCAAATTTACACAATAAAATGGGACAATTTTCCCACTCATTTCTTTGGTCAAATGAAAAAATAGTTATATAATAGTGGAAATTACATGGAGCCCTAAGTGTTTAGAGGGCTGTAAATTTTACAGTCCGCTCTAATTAGAGTGAACCTCACAAATTATTTAATGTGGTAATTACATGGAGCCCTACTTTTGGAGATCCAATTTCTAAAATCAGATTTTAAGGTTTAAATTTCAAAAATCAGATATTTTTTATATATGTACAGGTTTTTTATATTTAATTAAATATTAATAATAATACTATAAAAATTAATTTATAACCCCACCCAACTGTAAACCCCCAACTTCTCACAAGTCCAGCATAAATCCCTCACCCGTCCCCCATCTCTCTCTGGCGGCGGGAAGGGTCCTCAAGTCGAACGGTGGCGGGTTCCGTGATGGTGGGTTTTTGGGCAATGGCGGTGCGGTGATCCATCGGAGCTACGGCACCGTGTTAGGGCTCCAACCGTGGCTACGTCCAACCAACAATCGAACGGTCTCACCTGTAGAAAATCAGCGCCGCATCTCCCTTCATCCACCGATCTGAGCTGCAACGGCCATGACCCGCAAATGGAGCCTCGACACAGATTTCGTCGCTACTGCGATGGCGAAGCACAGATTTTGTCGCTATTGAAATCGCCCAGCAAGCTTCCCTTCCAGCGTCTTGTTCGTGATATCGCCCGGGATTTCAAACTGATTTGAGGTTCTAGAGCCACGCAGTGCTTGGACTTCATGAATTTGATTTCCCCCAATAAAATGTGTACCCACTGTCGTTTGAGTGTGAATTTGATTTCCCCCATGAGAATTTGTGATTTTAATGGTGTTTGGGTGGTGGTGCGGTAGTTGGTGGTGGTTTGATGGTGAGTTGGTGCTGGCTTGCAGGCAGCTGAGGTTTTTATTTTTTTTTATTTTAATGGTAGTGGTGCGATGAGGCGATTGTCCGGTGGTTGTGGTGGTGTGGTGAGGTGTGGGCAGTAAGCAGTTGTTTGAATTTGTGTTGTGTTTCGTGACTAACTGGGATCGCATAATGGACTAATTGTAACTGCATAATGGATTAACTATGACCTTAAAATTCGACAATTTGTGACTAAATATTAATCTGAGTCATGTGCAAAAATATTTTGTAACATGTGCTGTCATCGTTTGAAAATAACCCGTGACTATGAACAAAATTCTGAGTTGTGACCTGAACTGTGACTTGTGACCTGAACTGTGACTTGTGACCTGAGTTGTGACTTGGGTTGTGACTTGTGAATTAGATTGTGACCTGAATTTTGACTTGGACTGTTACTTGTGACCTAAGTCGTCGGAATCGGTGCCGTCGGAACGACATCGAAATCGGAGTAGTTAAGGAGAAAAAAATTTCATAGATTGAAATGTATTTTTATTTTTAACGAATTTCCATTCCAAGATCTAATTGCAAGCATAAGCTAACAAGTAAATAGGTGACTTAATTTTCTACTACTTAAAACTTTTAATGATTTAAATTCACGAGCATGTAATCGATCTCCGTTCAAAACAGATTTAGACAAGCATTGTTCGTCATTCATCAGATACTTATGGATGTTTACATAATGATTTACAACTATCATTCAGAGAGTGGAAATTAAACTCTGTGATCACATTGAAGAAGCCAAGTTCTCAGAGGATTCAGATTACATGGAAGAAACTAGGTTTTCGGAATTGACAGAGGATGTGGATTCAGAAAGTGAGCCCTGCATCCATCTCTTCAGCATCTCAAGGGCAGCTTTGGGCTGATCCATGGGAACCATGTGTCCAGCATCGTGGACCTGTATGCAATCAAACGCGATGATTCGTGCTTTGCTAAAAATGTAATCTAGCTAGGAAACAGAATTGAAATGTCGAGAGAGAGGGAGAAAGAGATACCTTCAAGAAACTAAGAGGCCCGTGGCTTTTCAATAATCCTGCTTCGGAACCATCAACTTCAAAAGTAACTTCAGAAGATGCTACAAATTCTTTCTGACCACTCCATTCCATAGCATGAACCCATCTTGAGTTACCTGCTCGATTATCAGGCGAATATATGCTAAATACAACCACGAACAAATTCAAGTTGAACGTTGAACAATATCGACAAAGAAAATTATGGTCCAGACTTTCGCAAATAGAGTATATGGGGTGTTGATCTTTAAGCTTCCGATTCCCTTCACATTTTTAAAATTTTTTTGGAAGGAATGAGTGATTTAGAGGAATATAACCTCAAACACACCGAAAATGAAAGTTCAGGGACCTAAAATCAATGAGAAAAATTGATTGGGGACAAGACTTCAAATATTCCTATCCAAGAAAACAATAGGCGGCAAACTTCAATACAAGTATTTTTCTTAAAAAAATTATTAAAAAATAACTCACCAAGCCAATTACATATAAGATCGTATTCTCCAGCATACACAAGCAACTTTACTCCATCCTCGAGAAGAGTAGGAATGCCGACTTCAAGATTTCTCATCCAGTCCATAAGCAAGGCATCGTACACAGTAGGACTACACGAGACAAAATCTATATCCCCAACTCCAAGCACATCCCTGACAGACTTCTGGTTGAGAAACTTCTCCAATTTTGAGAAGTCGTAGCAGAGGCTGCCTTCACACTTCTTTCTAATGTCATAATACTGCAAGTGAAAACGTCAACAGATTATAACTTAAAACAGCTCCCATTAAAATTTTCTGCATTCAGAAAGACTTTAAACCACCGTTTCTTGTTTAATTATACATCATTTGCTTGGGATCCAATGATACTATAAAACAACTTATTTAATGTAAACTCCATAGTATCATTGAAATGATGCTAACCTGCAGCATATAATTCTTATTTAGAGCATGTTTGGTAGGGCTTAAAATCCAATTAAAATTGAAAATATAGTTGTTATTGGGTCTCACTCGTCTAATAAAAGTTTTTCAATTTTAATCCGATTTTAATCTCTACCGAACACGCCCTTAGTTTATATGCTTCGCTATGTTCTGGTGCCACGAGAGTGGGAACGAATGGTGTCTAAACCAAACCCCGTGGTTTATTACAAACCCCAAATATCAAAATAAATGGAATCATAGATTTTAGTACTTACATTCATATCACCAACACGTGCTAGGATAGAATTGAATATGGTATTGCAAACAAGATAGGCAGCCATGCAAGAGATTGTCCCATCAGTGCCTGAAACAAAAAAATAATGTGCATTTAAGTTAACAGCAGCTTTAGCACTGAAACATAGTAGTTCATACTGCTCAAAAATGGAATGAAGACCTTCAACTAATGTACCACCAAAAAATGGATGAAACAGTGTATATAAATTTCCAACTACAAATTATAGGAGTCCTTCTGCAGAGGGAAAATGAGCTAGACAGGGATCTTAAAATTGGATTCTTATGAATGACCTAAAACATTATAAGGAAAATAATATTCAGCATTACCACAAAGCTTTATTGCTGATTTACACAAAGGAAGGATCTTATTGATACGATCATGAGCAGACTGTGTAATTATTCCCACATCCAGTGCATAATCAGCATAAGCAGCATACTGAATTCCTGGATCAGTAAGCCCATTTCCAATAGCAAATCCCTGTATAACCATTTCATGTAAGAAAGATGAAGTAAAATAATCATAAAATCCTATCGCGTAACACATCAGGTAGTTAACTACCTTCAAATTTACGTGTATTCCTTCTTTTGCTTTGTTCCCTTGGTGAACTCGAGCAGCAAAAGCAGGAATGTAGTGTCCAGCATATGACTCTCCGGTTATGTAAAAATCATTTTTCGCAAGCTCCGTATGCTCCTTAAAAAATGCCTATAACAAAAAAAAAAAAAAAA